AAATAATTTTAAAACTTATTTTTACATTGAAATCAAACTTTCAGGTTAACACATGATGCAAATTGATTTTTGAATAGCAAACAACTGACTTAAAGCTAAAAGAAAAAACACKACATGAAAGCTAAAGGAGGCGAAGTGCTAGCTAAAAGCCAAATGTAACAAAATGCTAACTAATTGTAGCAAAAGATTAACTAAAACCCTGATGTATTTAAAGACAACCTAAAAGTTACAAAACTGAAAGATGGCAAAAAGCTAAGATTAGAAAAATATAGCCGAGTACCAGATAGCTGACTAAAAACCAAAGGGGATCAAAACGGTGGCTAAAAGTACCAAGAGTCTGGCTAAAAGCTGAAAGCAACAGAAAGGTAGCCAATAGTTTCACAAGGTTCACTAAAATCTACAGCTAGCTAAATATTAACCAAAGCCTGACAAATTTGAAGCTAAACGTTAAACACAAGTTTAGCAAAAAAATTAAAAGTTGCCAAAAATATGAAGAGACTGGATACAAACTAAAAGTAGCAAAAGCTAGCTAGAAGCTAAAAAATGCAAATTATAGCTAAAAGTAGCAAAAGCTTGCTGAATGATAAAAGTAGCTAAAAGCTAGGTAGAAAGCTAGGTAGAAAGGTTTTCTAAAAGTTGCATAAAACTAGCTTAGTAGTTGCACAAGGCTAGCTAACCAAAATCAGCTTACTAAGACAAAAACAGAGCTAATTAACACTATTTTTGATAGAAGATATGACCCCCACACGCGAAGCGTAAGCGGGAGTTGTATTGTWTTTGTACTGTTTTTTTTTCCTCCGGAGATTTTTGGTCAACCCTAACACAAAAACGGCTGCACCYGTCAACATYAAATTTGGCAGGGCTGTAGATGAGTCTGACCTACACTGCACCAGCCAACGGTTTTATGATAGACCCCATGTTTGAGGAGGGGGCTCCTTTCAAAGTGGGGGTGTCAGGACATGCAAAAATGCTTATGACTCAGAAACTGTTCAACATAGAAGCGTCAGGTTTCTTTTGTTGTTTAGCTCTGATGAAGCTCAATCCATCAGGCCAACCATCAGTGCCACCCCCCCGGACCCCCAATTTATCTGAAAAAGGGGTGTCTGGACATGCAAAAATGCTTATAACTCAGAAACTGTTCAACATAGGAGCTTAAGAGTTTTTTGGTTGTTTAGCTCTGATAAAGCTCTATCCATCAGGCCCACCAATCAGTGCCCAGCCCCCTGCCCGGACCCCCAATTTATCTGAAAAAGGGGTATGATTATAGCTCAAAAACTATTAAACATAGGAGCTTCAGATTTCTTTGGTTCTTTAGCTCTGATGAGGGGCTTTCCATCAGGCCCACCAATCAGGGCCCATCCCACCACCCGGACCCCCAATTTATCTGAAAAAGGGGTGTCTGGACATGCAAAAATGCTTATAACTCGGAAACTGTTCAACATAGGAGTTTAAGATTTTTTTGGTTGTTTAGCTCTGATGAAGCTCTATCCATCAGGCCCACCAATCAGGGCCCATCCCACCACCCGGACCCCCAATTTATCTGAAAAAGGGATATTTGGACATACAAAAATGATTATAGCTCAAAAACTATTAAGCATAGGAGCTTGAGATTTCTTTTGTTGTTTAACTCTGATGAGGGGCTATCCATCAGGTCCAACATCCACCCCCCTCCAAAAAAAAGGACTCCCACACGAACCACTACAATTTTGAGATGCACCTAGTAGCATGACATTTATTAGGAATAAAGACTTCTGAGTTCTGGTGCATTTGGAGG